CCCAAATATTGTAAGCACAGTGAAGCAGTTTTATTTACTTCAAGGTTCAAAAAGGTCAAGGAAATCTGTCTTCAATATCCCCTCTCTCCCTGCTTTTTTTTTTTTTTTTCAATCCTGTGTTGCTGAAGGTAAGCAAATATACAAATATACTTAGGTAAAATGCCTGGGATCAGAAATGTTTCAGATTTTTGAATGTTGAAATGTTTGCATAGACTCTACTGATTGAGATAGTTTTGTTTGGGGTTTTTTGGGAGACAGTCTCACTATGTTTCCTAAGCTGACTTTTGAACTTGTCATCCTCCTGTCTCAGCTTCCTGAGTAGCTGAGACTACTGATATGCACTTGAGTTGAATATTCTAATTTGAAAATGCGAAATCCCAAACAGACCAACTTTAACATTTCAAATTTCAGAGTGTTCAGATTTCTGGATTAGGAATACTCAATCTGTACTAAAAAAATAATTAAAATTTTGTTCATTTACTATGAAGTTCTTTCATGACTCTAATTTGTAAATTCCATTTAAAAATTAATAGTGTCTTTGCAGAATGACAAATAAATGAAGGAAAAACAGAACTAGGAAATAATCTTTTTGCAACCATCTATGCAATTATGAATTTAAGAAAGGAGGGCTGCAGTAGCAGAGTGCTTGCCTAGCATTTGTGAGGCACTGTGTTCAATTCTCAGCACTACATAAAATAAAGGTCCATTGACAACTAAAAGAATTAAAAAAAAAAAAAAAAGAAAGAAAAGAGGTCTGGGGTTGTGACTTAGTGGTAGAGCACTTACCTAGCATGGGTTCAATCCTTAGCACTGCATAATAAAATAAAGGTCCATCAACAAATAATAAAAAACAACATATATAACAAAGGATCATCAATGAATACTAAAACAACTGAGGGTAAGATTGTGAGAAAGAGGATATTCCCACAGTCTTGAGTGTCATTCTCACTGATTATTAATTACAAAGAAGACAGTCAAGTAGGCACTGTCTTAAATACTCAACCTTAGCATAGTCAAAATAATATCATATGCCTCCTGATTTGACACAATAGAAGACATCGCACTTGTATATTATTTCTAACATATGTTTATTTTGATCTTCTCACAAAGAAGCAATAAAAGTAACCAACAGTAACAGACATTCTAGATCACTGGCTTGGACTTTAAAAAAAAAGAAAAAAAAAGGTAATTTCATAAAACACCCAAGTGAAAAATGTGAGGGAACTGTCCTGAAGAGCCAGGACAACCAAATGTAATATGCGATCCTTGAGATCTTGGGTTTTATTTTTTTAAAAAATATACTTTTTTAGTTGTTGATGGACCTTTATTTTGTTTATTTATATGCAGTGCTGAGAATCAAACCCAGTGCCTCACACATGCTAGGCAAGCCCTCTCCCATTGAGCCACAACCCCAGCCCAGATTTTGGGTTTTGAAACAAGATTATAAAAGGGTGATTTGGGGACAAATGGGAAAATCTGGCATGTGCTGTTTATTAGATACAATTATTTCCACATTAAATTCCTTGGTGGTGACAATGATATTATAGTTATGTAGTATGATGCCATCGTTGTCTTTGCTGCTGAAGGACTTAGGGCTGCCATGATGCCTGCAATTTATCCCAAATGGCACAGGAAAAAATGTTTAAAATCCATACAAAGAAGTCTTTCATCCAATGTTGATAGGAATACAGAATGGTAATTACTTTAGGAAACAGTCTAGCACATTCTCAAAAACTTGAAAACAATTTATCATACAAACTAGCAATTCTATTTCTAGGTATCTACACAAAAGAAATTTTAAAACATTAAAAAAAGTCAGTAAGGAGACTAAGAGTGTATTTCAGTGGAACAGTACATGTTATAGCATGAGTGAGGGCCTGGGCTCAATCCCCAGAATCACAAAAAAAAAAAAAAAGTCAGTAAATAGAAACAACCTTTATGTCCACCATTGAAATATGTCTCACCAATAAAAATAAACAAAATACTGATAAATGCCAAGACACAAATTAACTTTATACACATTATACTAAGTGAAAGAAGCCAGACACAAGACTTTATATAATTCTGTTTATACAAAAAGTAAACAGAAATAATCTTTAAAGGTAGAAAAAAGGGGGAGAGGGAGCAAAGGGGTAGGAAAAAATGGTGGAATGAGACAGATATCATTACCCTAGATACATTCACAAAAGAATGGTGTGACTCTACTTCATGCACAACCAGAGAAGTGAAAAATTCTGCTCCATCTGTGTACAATGAATCGAAGAGCTTTCTACTACCATGTATAACTGATTAGAACTAGTAAGTAAGTAAATAAATAAATAAATAAGTGGTAGAGTAGTGTTTGCCTGAGAGTGAGAACAGGAATGGATTAACTATGACAAGCAGAAGAAATTTTACTGGAGTAATAAAAATTTATTGGAGTTCTCAAACTGGACTGAAATAATGTTTGCATACCTCTATAAACTTACTAAAAATCACTGAATGATACTTTTAAAAGAAGCTAATTTAGAGTATGTAAGTTACATGTTAATTAAAGATACTTCAAATAGAATAAATGTGGCACAATGACAATAATGATAATTGATGAACCTATATGAAGAGTATATAAATATTTATTGTGCCATCTTTCAACTTTTCTATAGGCTTGAACATCTCCTAAATGAAAAGTTGGGAGAAATATCAGAAAGAACTCTGCAAAACATACACACTATCAGGCACGGTAGTGCATGCCTGTGATCCCAGTGGCTAGGGAGTAGGAGGCAAGAGGATCATGAGTTCAAAGCCAGCTTCAGTGAGGCACTAAGCAACTCAGTGAGACCCTGTCTAAATGAAACAGAAAATAGGGCTGGGGACATGGCTCAGTGGTTAAGCACCCCTGGCATCACTCCAGTACCAAAAAAAAAAAAAAAGCCATACACTCAAAATTAATAATTAATTATTATTATCAATAATAAAGTCACTCTTTATTATTGCAGAATAACCAAAGAAGATAAAGGACAAAAGCACAACTGACAGATTTAGAACTAATGAACAGAGCAACACATTGATTCCCAGGGCCAATTTTTATCCAAGAACTTAACTAGCAATTTTTGTCTATTTTATTATTCTTTCCTAATTACACAAATAATCCTGTTCACAGTAGATATTTGAGGGGAAATTACAGAAGACTGAACTCAGGGACACTGTATTTCTAAGCTATAGCCCAGGCCCTGTTTTAAATTTTATTTTGAGACATGGTCTAAGTTGCAGAGACTGACCTCAAAACTATGATCCTCTTGCCTTGGCCTCCCAAGAAGCTAGGACCACAGGCCTAGTTCACCACACCAGGCCTCACTGTAGAAAACTGAAGAATTAAAGTGAAAGCACATAGAAAATAAAAAATAAATTATAATCCCATCAGCAAATGATAATCATTTATGATTTGTTCTTTATTCTTTCAGTCCATTTGGGTGAAGGAAAATTACCTCTTACCAACATTCACAACTTGATCATTTGTTCAAATGGCATACCAAAATTTTGTCATATTCAATCACATAAATAATAAGAATGAGAAGGCAGAATAAAAACTTTTAAATGCAAATCCAGTCCTTCCTTTCAACTTACAATTAAAACATGCAGGCTGAATTCATTAGCTGAAGCTTTGCTTAAATTTAAGCTTTGCTTAAATGCCCCTAAGATCCAGGAGTGGAGGGCGAGGCATAAATTTACAAGGACAAAATAAACAAATGGGGCAACATTTGGAGCACTAGAAAGTATTTTGACAAATGGTAAATGACAGGTGACTTAAGAAAGCTCAATCCTCTTCAGGCTACAGTGGGAAAATTAGACAGGAACCCACTTAAAATGAAGACCTCCTTAAAAGGCCCAGGAATTAATAGTACCAGGTACCCTGTAACAGTGAAGATAAGGACAAAAACAGAAGAGGACATGTATTTGCCTGAACTGAACAGCTAGGCCTAGGATCCCCTAATATAATCTGATCACTGCATAGCCCATCGACTGCCCCACCCTGAAGGAAATGGGTGGAGCTGTTAAACCCACAGTTTAAGAAGCCTTTCAACCCCAGCCCTGAAGATCTTAGTTATGCCACTGCTCCCAATTATTATTATTATTATTATTTTGAGACAACTTGCTTAGGGTCATCTTTTAGTTGCTGAGGCTAGCCTTGAACTTTCCAGCCTCAGCCTCCAGAGTTATTGGGATTATAGGTGTGTGCCCTCTCAATCCTTTCTATATCCTACTCCAGTAGTACCTAGCTAAAAACCATCCTATATTCATCATTTAATATATAAAAAAAAGACTACAGCAAACAATAAAAAAAGCAACTTGAAGAAAACAGCATTGAAGGGGCTGGGGATGTGGCTCAAGCGGTAGCGCGCTCGCCTGGCATGCGTGTGGCTCGGGTTCGATCCTCAGCACCACATACAAAACAAAGATGTTGTGTCTGCCGAAAACTAAAAAATAAATAAAAGAAAACAGCATTGAAGAAATCTAACAGAAAACAGCAAAAATTCTGTCAAAAGGTAAAAAGAGAAAAATCTTTAGAGAATCACAGAAATTTAGAGAATATTTTTCTCTTAAAAATAAGAGCTCCAGGGCTGGGGTTGTGGCTCAGCGGTAGAGCGCAGGCTTAGCAAGTGCGAGGCCCTGGGTTCAATCCTCAGCACCACATATAAATAAATAAAAAGAAAGGTATTGATTGGGTCAGACTACAACTAAAAAATAAATATTAAAAAAAAATAAGAGCTCCAATACAGAGATATGATAAATTGTATTATAAAGGTGTATTAAGAATTGTAATGCAAAAAGAGAGAGAGAGAGCTCATGTATAATGGCATAATTTGGCATGAACATACTTTATATACGGAGTTACGTAAAATTGCACTGTGAATGGATAATTATGAATGTAATGCATTCCACTACTGTCATGTATGTAAGAAATAAATTTTTAAAAATAAATAAATAAATAATAATAATAATAAAAATAAGAGCTCCAGGGCTGGGTTGTAGCTCAGTGGTAGAGTGCATGCCTTGAATGCATGAGGCCCTGGGTTCGGTCCCCAGCACCACATAAAAATAAACAAATAAAAATAAAGATCAAAAAAAAAAAAAAAAAAGGAGCTCCAAGAAAAGAGAAAAAAATCAGACACAGTGGTGTGAGTCTGTAATCCCAGCGTCTTGGGAGGCTGAAACAGGAGGATCAAAAGTTCAAAGGCAGTACCAGTGGGCTGGAGATATGGCTCAGTGATGGAGTGCTTTTCCTGTCTGGTATGCTTGAGGCCCTGGGTTCGATTCCCAGCACCACACACACACACACACACACACACAAAGCAAAGCCAGACTCAGCAACTCAGTACGGTGCTAAGCAACCCAACAAGACCCTGTTTCAAAAAATAAAAATGGCTGGAGATGTGTCTCAGTAGTCAAGCACCCCAGTATTAAAAAAAAAAAAGTGGTAGGGGAGTTTTGCAGTGGTGAAGTGCACACAAGTTCAATCCCCAGAGTTAAGAAGAGGAAGGAGGAGGAGGAGGAGGAGGAGGAAAAAGAAAACTAAGGTTAGGAAATCAAAGAAATTTCCAAGAGAATGGAGTGTCCACATTGAAGGAGCTCACCAAAGGTGAGCACAACAGTATATGAAAATACATACTGAGTGCATCACTGTCAAATTTCAGAACACTAGAGACACAAAGTTACCAAAAGTTTCCAGAGAGGGAAGAAAACAGGATTTATTCAAAGATAACAAAGTATCAGAAGTTACCACATTGCAGCATTATCGCTGAAATACAAATAACAAAGGATCATACCGCCTTAGAAAGTCTTGAGAAAAATATTTTCAGCCTTAAAATTGCTACCCAGTCAAACCCTGGGAGAGCAACCAAGTATCAGGTTAAGATTAAAAAAAAAAGAAGAAAGAAAAGAAAAATCAGAATGCAAAAGACTCAAATTTTACCTCCTCTGCACTGTCAGGAAGTTTAAAAAAAAAATGGGGTCCACGGAGTTGAATGAAATTTCCAGAGTGAGAGGTATACAGCAGACTTAACCTCAACCAATAGAGAGCAGAGCAGGTCAACTGCACTAGAAAAGACTTCAGAAAGAAACAGCTGATCAAATGTCTAAAATGTCTAAACTTATTGAGAAGAAATTACAAAGCTGGAAGGAATTTAAGGATAACTGAGTTTAAAAAAAGAAATCTATTCAACTGAGCAAATCAAATATCAAGACAAGTATTTCACTCAGGGTAGCATAAGAATGTGCAGAAAAGGAAAAGTAATTCAAATACCCTGGTGGTTCAAGTGATGATGAGTATCTAATAGTTGGTAACAAGATAACTACTGAACACTGTTTTAGCCAAATTATAAAAAACTAAAATGAAGAACAGAAGATGAAGTAAGTGGAAACTAACAATTACTGTGTGCTAGGCATAGTTCCAAACCTTAACACATTAATTTAACTAATCCTCAGATTAAAAACATTCTCTTTATGTATCTTCCTTTAAAAATACTGTTTTGTTGTTTGATATGGGGGTCTCCCTATGTTGGCCTCCAACTCTTGAGCTCAAGTAATCTTCCCTCAACACAGCCTCCCAAGTGAATGGCACCACAGTACTGGTTCCTTTAAAAAATAATTTAAAATTAGGGGCTGAGGTTGTGGCTCAGCGGTAGAGAGCACGCCTAGGATATGCGAAGCCCTGGGTTCCATCCTCAGAACCACATAAAAATAAATAAAATAAATGTATTGTGTCCAACTACAACTAAAAAATAAATATTAAAAAAATAATAATTTAAAATTAAATTAAAAAGCTGACTGTTGCCCTGAAAAACCAAACATGTACAACAATGCAATAGAAAAAAACACACAAAAACAAGTTCAAACATATATACACATACACACATATACATAAGCCTTTAATATAGGATAAAAGACAGCATTTCAAATCATTGGGGAAGTGTAAATTTTTCAATGAATAGAAGAAATGACTAATCATCTAAAAAATACAGACCTACCTCATTTCTGAATAAATATCAGCTATTATAAAACATTTACAGGTAAATGATTATGATTATATAATTATAAAACACCGGTGGATGTTTATATAACAACTGGGTGGCGGAAGGATTTCTAAGCATGAAATCAAAAACAGAAATCAAAAAGGGAGACTAATGGATTCAACATCATAAAAATTTACACAAAAAAGTGCCACAGAGTATAAAACAAAAACATTATAAACCAAGCTAGATGACAAGCTAGAGTCGGACAGGAAGAATAACTTCTAATGTTCTAGAGCACAAAAGGATAACCATGGTTGACAACAGTTACTTTCTTTTTTAAATGTGGTACTGGGGATCAAACCCAGCACCTCACACAAGCTAAGCACACACTCTATTACCAAGCTATATGCCTGGTCCTAACAGAATATTTCAAATAGCTAGTAGAGGATTTAAAATGTATCCAATACAAAGAAATAATACATGTCTACAGTGATAGATGTGCCAATTACCCTGATCTGTGTACACATGGTATAGATGTATTGAAATGTCACACCTACCCCACAATTATTATGCGTCAATTTAAAAACATATATATATATATATATATATGTATGTATGTAAATATATAAAATTCTAGTGCTAGATACAGAATCCAGGGCCTCATGCATGACAACTGAAATGTTCTACCCTTGAACTATACACTCAGCCCCTATTATATTTTAAAATAGAGTGGGAGGAGACAAACTATGGAGTAAAAGCCGGCATTTAAAGTTATTTTTCTTAATAGGCATACAGCTCACACACATCAATGAAGAAAAGAATATCCAATAGAGTGGAGAAGAAAACACAGAAATAAGTCACAGAAAAATATAAGCCAATAAAGACATAGAAGAATATATAATCTCATTCCCAATTAAGACAAAACAAATTAAAATAAGTACATGTTTAATCCATCAGACCAACAATAATGTAAAGACATAAATGGAATGCTGCCTATATAGTATACTGTGAAGTTAAAAAAGCAAGTCTGAGGGCTAGGGCTGTAGCTCAGTGGCAGAGGCGCTTGCATAGCATGTGTAAGGCACTGGTTCCATCTTTTTTTTTTTTTTTAGTTGTAGATGGACCCAATATTACAATATCTTTATTTTTATTTGTTTATTTTTATGTGGTGCTAAGGATTGAACCAGGGCCTGACGCATGCAAGGCAAGCACTCTACCACTGAGCTACAATCCCAGCCCCTGGGTTCGATCTTTAGCAGCACATAAAAATAAATAAAATAAAAGCATTCTATCTATCTATAACTACAAAAAAAAAAAAAAAAAAAAAGCAAGTTTGGGCTGGGGATACAGTTCAGTTGACAGAGTGCCTGCATGCACAAGGCCCTGGCTTCAATCCCCAGCAAAACACACACACACACACGCACACGCACACACACACGCACACACACACACACACACACACACAAAAGCAAGTTTGAGAACAGTAGACATATGATCCTATTTGTATGGAATACGATCATATATCTTTTTTAACTATGGGAAGTGAAAACCAGTAGTGCACACCTGTAATTCCCATGGATCATGAGGCTGAGGCAGGAGGATTGCAAATTCAAAGTCAGCATCAGCAACTTAGCAGGGCCCTACACAACTTAGTAAGATCCTGTCTCAAAATAAAAAATAAAAGAAGGGCTAGGGATGTAGATCAGTGGTTAAACACCACTAAGTTCAATCCCTGGTACCAAAAACTTAACATTAAAATTAACAGGGCTGGGTAAATGTATGGCACTGGAGACTATCATGCTAAGTGAAATCCCCCCACCAAAAAAAAACCAAAGGCCAACCATTCTTTGTGATATACAGATGCTAACACACAATAAGAGAGTAAAAGGGAAGAATAGAAGCTCACTGGATTAGACTCAGGGGAATGAAGGGAAAGAAGGGGAGATGGAAATAAGAAAGACAGCAGAATGAATCAGACATAACTTTCCTATGTTCATATAGGAATAGATGACCAGTTTAACTCCACAACATGTACAATCATAAGTATGGGAAGTTATACTCCATGCATATATGATATGTCAAAATACATTCTCTACTGTCATGTATAACTAAAAAGAACAAATAAAAATTAAGAGGTCTGGGGGGGGCTGGGGTTGTGGCTCAACAGTAGAGTGCTCACCTAGCTCAGGTGAGGCCCTGGGTTCAATCCTCAGCACCACATAAAAATAAATTAGGGCTGGGGTTGTGGCTCAGAGGTAGAACATTCGCCTAGCGTGCATGAGGCACTGGGTTTGATCCTCAGCACCACATAAAGTAAAATAAAGACAATGTGTCCACCTATAACTAAAAAATAAATAATTTTTAAATTAATTAATTAATTAAAGATATTGTATCCAACTACAACAAAAAATTAATGTTTTTTTAAAAGGGGGGGCCTGGGATTGTGGCTCAGTAATAGAGCACTTGCCTAGCATGTATGAGGCACTGGGTTCAATTCTCAGCACCACATAAAAATAAATAAAGGTTCATCCACATCTAAAAAAAAAAAATACACACACACACACACACACACACACACACAAATAAAATTAAAGAGCTGGGGATGTGGGTTGGTGGTTAAGCACCCCTGGATTCAATTCCCAGTACACACACACACAAAAAAAAACATTTTTAAAATAAAGTATGGAAAATAGGAGAAGATCTTTATACATGAGATGGTACACCAACAGAGCATGCTCTTTCAGTAGGAAAAACCATGACAACTGAAGTAGATGATAGATTTGAAATGGCCTGGCCTCAAGTCCATACTGAAAAACATACTAGGCTGGTAATGTAGTTCAGAGATGAACTTGACTAGCATACACTAGACTGTAGGCTGGATCCAAAGTGCCACAAAAAAAAAAAAATCACAGTTTGCTTTAATGCATTGCAAAAGAAAAAATTTCCATCGAGGCACAATGACAGACACAATGACTCCTAGAAGCTCAAAAAAAATTTTTAAAAAAGGGCTGGGGATTATGTAGCTCAATGGTAAAGTGCCCCTGGATTCAACCCCCAGTATCAAAAATGAGAGAAAAACAAAA